TGTTTTTTTCGCTACACACAGTTCTAACCATGTTTCAAAATGGAAGCTAAAAGCCCCGGATTTAATTTTGTAATTAAATTAAAGACATTAGTTCCATTTCATCCTCAAGTGAATTTTGGAGTAACTTTTAAAATTACTGGGTTTTAAATACACAGCTAAAACAAAATTCATGTTTCCAAGGTTACAGATAAATCTATTTTTCTAAACAGTGGTGTCTGGGTGTTCAATATGTCTATATTTTAATGTATCAGTTATTGCTACGTTTTGGTAGTGGGTAGGGATGTATTTTTCAATGAAATCTAACATCCGTTAAAAGCGTGTCGTCTGGATTTTTTTTAAAATTTTATTGTTAACGGCATTTTTTTCCTTCGTATATTTAAAGATTTTTTTTTGGGGGGGTGTTTAGGATAGAATACTTTTTATTTAACTACGACTTGAAATATTTTTACTTTTAATTTTTAATATACTATATTTCTTTCAAGAACAATTAAATGTAATTAGAATCCCTTACAGTTTGTAGAATTATTATCACATCAAGTATATTACGATTTTTAAAAATTTTATATTTAAATATTATTTAAGTAAATTTAAAAAAATTTTTTTTTTTATTTTACTTAAATAATATTGTAAACAAGGAAACTTGTAAACTGTCTTTAATTTAATTACAAAATTAAATCCGGGGCTTTTAGCTTCCATTTTTGAAACATGGTTAGAACTGTGTAGCGAAAAAAAAAAACATATTTTAAATCAATTAATTTATAATATTAATGCTCTGTAAATTTACATTGAGCACTATTTTGTAAAAGTAAAAATATCTATAAGAACACCGGATTATATATCTTACTGTTCTTTCTTTATATATATATATATATATATATATATATATATATATATATATATATATATATATAAGGACTCCCACTGCTCCTCATACAAATCAAATATCATTTCTTCTCATTGATACAATTGGCGTGTTTTCTCCAGTTGATAATGTGATAATGTTCCACTGACTGATAATATATTGACTCTGTCTCAGTTGTTCCCATGCGATTTTGGGCCATGCCCTACTTTGGTATTTCTAAAATTCTGCTGCTCTCACCTTGTAATAATTAATTCTTACATATTCAAAATTTTACTGCAATTCACATGAAGGAAGCTCAAAAGCCCATTAACTTTGTCTTTAAACAAACCTCCAAAGACCATGGCGTCACGACCTCTCGTTTGTTGACCTAGACACTCGAGAGTGGGGAAACGAGAAATATCCTGTATGCCAATTAGACATGTACTTACATACACACAAAATATTTTTAATGTATGTATACTGTATATGCATCGTATGTATTAACACGCATTAACATTAACACTTTCATTCAGACTCTCGAGAAAACAATTCACTGTTAATAATTCATTCTCGAATTGCCCCCTTATTCTGTTGGTATATAGTAAGCCAAAGGGTGCACATCCTACGCATGACCCACGAAAATATTACCATGCCTCATCGGTGGGGAATGCACCCTACGTTGGGAATCATTGCTCTGTTTCCTATTTTCTTGATTGTTAATATTTATATATAAAAGGTCGCCAAAAAATTTTCCTTTTGACGATCCAAGAGCTTTGAAAAATATTCTGATATTTGATCAGATTTTGATAAACATTTTGATAAAGAATACTATATATATATATATATATATATATATATATATATATATTTCTAGAAACGTATATATATATATATATATATATATAAAGTGTTCTAGAATGTTGAGTAAGAACACTATATATATATATATATATATATATATATATATATATATATATATATATATATATATATATAATAGTGTTCTTACTCAACATTTTTAAGGCAGGCAACTGTAATAATTTGACCAAGATAGGAATCATTTCTTGAAAGTTATAATATCCGGACTTTTATCTTGTAGCTGGATATATCTCCGGAAACGAAAATAGAAGTGATGTTGAAGGCCGATTTGCAAACAACTATACTTTCTTTATCCTCGCCTTCAGCCATGATTTTTGCCGCTCTTTTCTCTGGTTTTTATTTTTTTATTTTTTTTTATTTTTTATTGTTGCTTTTTCTTTCGGAATCAGGAATGCAGTAGATTGCCAACGAAATGCCAAACATGGCTTTTACATTTCACTGCAATATCCGGACAAGGTGCAAGAAAAAAAAATATAACAGCGATGTAGAAATAAGGCGAGCATGAATAAAAGGAGAAATTGAAAATGTTCTAGTCTTCTGGGATTAGCTTGTTGCTTAATAGGAAAATGCGTCGCCTTCACCTTGCTTGAGGGCACGGTATTTTTAAACACTAAGTTTTGAAACTTTTCTCTCTTTAAACACACGCACACACAGTCGCTCGCCTCCCCTCACACGTATATCTGAGGGTGTTGTTCCTTTCATACAACTATTCATTTATCTTTTTTTCATTTGTTTTAGTATTTATATTCGTCATCACTCTTTAAATCCTGCTGTTTCGTAATGTCCCTATCAATCTATCTCAGTATATCTGATCCATCTATGTATCTATCTATCCATCCATCTATCTATCTCAGTCTGTTCATACAACTATTCTATCATTTATCTTTTCATTCATTTTATCTATCTATCTATCTATCTCAGTCTGTTCATATCTATCTATATTCCATATATTCATCTATCTATCTCAGTCTGTTAAATCCCATATCTATCTATCTCAGTCTGTTCACGTATCCATCATCTATCAATCTATCCATCTATCTATCTATCTATCTATCTATCATATCTATCTCAGTCTGTTCACATCTATCTATCTATCTATCTATCTATCCATCTATCTCCAGTCTGTTCATATTATCTATCTATCTATCTATCATCCATCTATCTATCTATCTATCTATCTCAGTCTGTTCATATCTATCTATCTATCTATCTATCTATCTATCTATCTATCTATCTATCTATCTATCTATCTATCTATCTATCTCAGTCTGTTCATATCCATCTATATCTATCTATCATCTATATATATCTCATCATCTATCATATCTATCTATCTATCTATCTATCTATCTATCTCAGTCTGTTCATATCATCTATCTATCCATCTATCTATCTATCCATCCATCTATCATCTTAGTCTGTTCTATCTATCTATCTATCATGTATCTATCTATCTATCTATCTCATCTATCTATCTATCTATCTATCTATCTATCTATCTATCTATCTCAGTCTGTTATCTATCTATCTATCTATCTCATCTATCTATCTATCTATCTAGTCTGTTCATATCTATATCTATCTATCTATCTATCTATCTATCTATCTATCTATCTATCTATCTCAGTCTGTTCATATTCATTCATTCATCTATCTATCTATCTATCTATCTATCTATCTCATTCTGTTCATATCTATCTATCTCATCTATCTATCATCTATTATCTATCTATCTATTCTGTTCATATCTATCTATTCATCTATCTATCTCATTCTGTTCATATCTATCTATCTGTTCATATTCATTCTATCTATCTATCTCTCTATTCATTCATTATCATCTATCTATCTATCTATCTATCTATCTATCTATCTATCTGTCGCATTCTAGCTATACATTTCTAAATTCTCTCCCAAGCAATTCATTTCCCTTCGTTGGAATAAAATAATCCAAATAAGTTCTTTTTAGTAGGTACAGGGGAAGAATTATCATTGCCAGACAAATACACTGATCATCGGAATATTCATAGGATCATTTCATAAGATTGATATTTGAATTAATCGATTTCTACCTGCAACATTTTCACTTCACTTTTCTTAACTTAATTATTGCCAATTCATGAATTTATGTGTGAAAAAGATAAAAACCTTTATTTGGCTGTCGACATAAACCCGTACAGTCGCACTTGCATATAAATGAGGGACGCTTGCCGGAAGCTGATTGTAGGCAAGTCTTGTTGATCATTGATAGTTTAAGGTATTCGATGTTCTGTCTATATCCTTGAGGTATTATAATTACTTACATTATTTACATTATTTAGACTTATCCTCATCTTCATTACTATATTCACAACGTTTCGGCCGTTGTACGCCCTGGCCTTCTTCAGATGATTGGAATTTGGAACCGAACCTTTTATTTCGCCCACCGAGGTAGATTGTTCTAGTTCCACGTACCATACCTCTTCCGGATGTCTCAGTTATTTCCCTTTAACTAAACTTTCCAAATTTGGTTCACCACTGTTGTGGCCTGGTATTGAACTCACAACTCTTTTGGTCTAGTCACTATATCTAACCAACGGCTTTATCCACTGTCCCATGTGTCCTCGAGCGTACAACGGTCGAATCGTTGTGAATATGGCAATGAAGATGAGGATAAAAGACCTAATAATGTAAGTATTCGATCTTATCTGGATACTTCACTGTTTGTGCTCTGTGTCAAAAATGAATAAATATCTGAATAGGTTATTTGCGAGAAAATGATGATAAACAAGCTTAATCCCTCAAACTATTCCCAAGGGTAGTGTGTTTGATCATCAATAAGTGTCCAACTATTATTAGCCTTTTGCCAGACTTAGCTTAGTTTAGTCAATAGCGTCTACTGTTGAATGATAATTTTAAAACTAGTTGAGCAGGTCAGTGTAGTAAGTTTGATGCTCACTGGGTGATCCAATCATTTGGCCATTTTCAAGGCTAAAGAATTAATAAATGTAATATTATAAATGTCATATAGTAGTAATAGAACTGAAAAAAGTAGTAAGACGATCATTAGAGGGAAATCAGCGAGCTGAGTTCGAATCCTGGTCGAGTTCATTACATTCACTTTCCCACAAATACCACACACTTCTTCTCGCACTGCAGCCATGGCAAAAAAGACTGGGATCACGAGCTCTGTTCAGTTAACCCTGAATTCAAAACTGGACGTAGCCTTGTCAAGGCACATAATACAACCATAGAAAATGAAGTTCACAATTAACAGTGTGCAGTGTGGAGTTTATGATCTCGACCTAGATTAAGATTAAGGTCAGTTTAGGTAGGGCTAAAAAAAAGCAAATAAGTAAAAACGAATGAGAGTTTGTGTCCAAAGTTCTGGGATGATGAGTTATCATTATTTCCATTATTTGCATTCGGACTATTATCCTCATTTTTGTTGTTGTTATCCCAAGTTTTTGGCAATTGGGACCCCCCACCCCACCCGGCCTTTATAAAGATATATATTGATCCGGCTAGCCTACAGGGAATTCCGAACTGAACCCTTTATTCCACTGTCCATATCTACGGATATCTCGTCTAGGTCTTATTTTCAGTACTGTTCAGTTATTGCCCGTCTGATTTCCACTGCCCGTTGTAGAGATTGAACTCACAATTACTTTATCACCAAATTCACGAACTAACGCTTTAATCTACTAGACCAGTGGTTCTCAACCGATTTGGGTCCACACCCCACTTTGGTATTTCTAAAATTCTGATGTCTCCCTGTAATATTTAATTCTTACATGTATACCAATTACACATGTACGTACATACACACAAAATATTGTCATGTATACATACTGTATATGCATCGTATGTATTAACACGTATTAACATTAACACTTTCATTCAGGCTCACTAGAAAACAATTCACTGTTAATAATTCACTCTCGAATTGCCCCCTTACTCTGTTGGTATAGTAAGCCGAAAGGTGCACATCTTACGCATGTCCTTACCATGCTCCACCGGTGGAGGTTGCGCCCCACATTGGGGATGATTGTAGTAAACTATTGTTCCGTAGGAAAATTCTCTGTGCAGAATTTGAAGCCTTAAACTTAACCTGCCTGCTCGTAAGTGACTCAGCTGCTGCTGTTGCTGCATCTGCTGTTGTTGCTGCTGCTACTTCTGTTGAAGCATTGCTGTCATTTATCTTCCGTTATTAGCGATGCCCATATTGTATTTATTTCTATATTAGGCCCACTAGACGAGATATCCAAAGACATGAGCAATGGAACAAGAATTGCGTGCCCCAGTAGATTAAATAAATTTATGTTCAGTTCTGAATTCTCTGTAGGTAACTCAGATCGATCTACACCTGATGAAGGTCGGAGAACATAACGGATGAAACAACAGCAAAGATGAGGACAATAGTCTGAAGCCAAGGATAAAATAATCAAAAAGAAGCGCTGAAGAGAAAAAAAAAGATTGAAGAACAAATCAAGGAAAAATTAAAAAAAATAGAGTCGTTGATCTAATCGTAAAAAAAAAAAAAAAATGAACTAAAAGACAAATTAACTCTCTCGGGGTAAGGTTTGGTCAGAAATGACTTACGTCAGTTGAAGGTGCAGTTTTTCGATCTTTAGGAGCGCCAAATCCAGCTCGTGGCGGGCTTTCCACAGGGAAGTCTCACACAGCGGATCTTTACAGCGGTGTCGTTTACTCTGTTCAAGGGCCTCTCGCACGGATTGCTCAAACGTCAAGGATTTCCCCATGCTCTGTCAAAGAAGAAAGAGAAACATAGTGACGTGGACATGGAATCAAGTGATGCGATCAAACTCTCTGTTACTGTTTTGTCTGCAATCAAGAAAGAGAGAAGGAGAGAGAGAATGAGAGAGAAAGAAAGGGGGAGATAGAGAGAAAGAGAAAAAAGAGAGAGAGGAGGAGAGAGAGAATGGGAGAGAAAGAGACAGAGAAAGAGAGAGGATAAGAGAGAGAATAAGAGAGAAAGAGAGAGAAAGAAAGAGAGAGAGAGAGAAAGAGATATATAAAGAAAGAGAGATAGACAGTAAGAGAGTGAGAAAGATATATATAAAGAGAGATGGAGGGAAAGAGAGAGAGAAAGAGAGAGAAAGAAAAGAGAAAGAAAGAGAGAGAGAGAATGAGAGAAAGAGAGAGAAAGAGAGAGAATGAGAGAGAAAGAGAGAGAATGAGAGAGAAAGAGAGAGAATGAGAGAGAATGAGTGAGAAAGAGACAATGAAAGAGAGAAAGAGAGAGAGAGAGAAAGAGAGAAAGGGAGAGAATACAAAAGCGACAGTTAAATTAAAAAAAAAAAAACTCATGACATTGTTCATCTTTCCAGTATGAAATAGATTTCGATTCTATTTAAAAATCGTAGAAAATAAAAAAAAAACAACAACAACAAAAAATAGCAGGTAATAAAATATGAGAGAGGGGAGAGAGAAATACAGAAAGAAAACAAGCGAGACAAAGTTTTGAAAGAGTGGGAATGGGGAAGAAGAGAGAGAGTGAGAGAGAGAGAGAGAGAGAGAGAGAGAGGCGGGAGAAGGGGGGAGGAAGCAAGAAGTTAGTAAAAGAAAGAGGAGTGGAAGGGCGAGAGAAGATATATAAAAAAAGCTGAGTTTAAAGGAAAGAGAAATGCGAGAGAAAAGCAACAGAAGAGACAGAAAAGAGACGGGGGGCAAAAAGGAGGAAGAGGGCCATGGAAGAGAGACAGGAGAAAAGTAGAGACAGAAAAATTAAAATATAATATATATATATATATATATATATATATATATATATATGTGTGTGTGTGTGTGAAAGGTGTGTGTATATAAATATAAATAAATATATATATATATATATGTATAATTATTTATATATTATATGCGCGGTACTTATTAGAAAGCGTTCAATATCAGAGATAGAGCTAACGACAAACTCACATCAATCCAACCAAATATATATATATATATATATATATATATATTTGTGTGAGAGAGTGTGTGTGTGAGCGTGTGTGTGTGTGTGGAGAGGGAGAGAGAGAGAGAGAGAGAGAGGAAGAGAGAGAGAGGGTGAGAGGGAGAGAGAGATATGCAAATACTATCCCTAGAAAACTTGCCAGTAACCTAAATAACTTAAAAATCTTTTTTATTTGAACGCCATTTTGTTAAAATTAGCTCACAGCTCTTCTCGTTGTTAGAATGTAAAGTCACAAGCCTCAACAGATTGTATAAGAAACATTTAAGCAATCTTAGTGGTTTGCAATTCTCAATTGTCTACCTTTTAGAATTTTAAATATTTGCATTCCAAATAAAATAAAAATGAAACAATTTCTAAAGGTCGATATTTAATGAATATCGAGGAAATCAGTACCAGTAATCATAAGAGCACTTGGCATTCTTGAGACAGAATTCAATGACAATACTAAACATATTCCAAAGCGTGGCATCCTAAGAGGAATTGAGTCCGTGAATTATATTCCTGTAAAGTGGTACAATATTTTAGTAGAAATGAGTTTACCTTGTAAAAAAATATTAGACTGAAATACCGAAATCGTCATGTAACAGAGAATGCTGTGGAATATGAAAGAAAATCAGGGTTCAAATTAGGTTGGAACAAACTCGTTGTTCGAAAGGGAAATTCAAACAGAAATAGAAATGCAAAAACTTGATGAGAAATGAGACTGGAGACAATAAAAGTGAAAATAAGAAAAATAAATTCCAGACAAAAAAAAAAAAAAAAAAGAATCGAATCTATGAGAAAGCAGTTGGCATCAGACAACAGATAAAAAGAGAGACAGTAGCAACAAAAATACAAATAGATAATCTTGGAAAGCAGATTCAAGAGACATAAGAGTCGGTTAATATGGATAGAATAGAAAATGCTAAAAACTAGAAAGGAAACTTTATCCACAAATAAAGAAAGAAAGGAGGTGGAAATAAAGGTTGTTATAGGAAAACAAATTCTGAAGAAAAATGGCGAAAAGATAGAATATCGTGGGAATAGCACATAAAACGACATAGACATGGTTCAGTCAGTTATGTACCATTCGTGATACACGCGTAGGCGATCATCTATCTTTTCGATTCATGACTGACGAGGCAGATTTTTCTTTCTCACAGTAGGTTGCCATTTCTTTCTGCGGATCGTTTGGTGGAGTAATGGATAGCGGCTCGGATTGCAGAAACGGAGAGCCGAGTCGAATTCCAGTCGAATCCATTTGGGAAAGGTATGAATCCTCTTCTTCCCGCCAGCTATGGATAAATAGCAGGACAGACCGGGTTCTTTAGCTTTGGATGGTAACTGATCTACCGCAGAAAAAAATGGACATAGTTACGAAGAGGAAAATTTAAGAAAGAAACTAATTCGATCTAAATTGTGGCCCCAAAACAACACCAGGCGAACCAAATATATAAAGACCGTGATAGATAGAACACAGAAAAATGTAGAGCGTATGGGAATAAAGATGAGACAGTCAACCATATAAACAGAGAATGTATCAAATTAGGAAGCAAAAATTGGCTTGCTGGTAATACACTGGGAATTGACCCGACAAAATAATGATATATACGCAGAAAGTCTTAAAATTTTTACTGTTAATTATTTTTTTTAATCAGTTCACTCTCAAGCAAATCGATAATGCCAGTTATTTTTGCCTCAATAGAATTAGATATGTTCACCTTATTGTTCAGTTCAGACTCCTTGCCGGTTTTCTGAATAGTACGTTTATCCATTGTTTCCTTTTTAGGATTGGGTTTTCGGCTCCTTATAAAACCTTTTCTTTCTCTTTTACTTCCAGTAGCCTCTTGAGAATCAGTGGCGTCATTGCTTTGCTTGGGTTGAGGGGATTAAAGAAGAAAAAACAACAAAAAACAACAAAAGTTTCCATAGAGAATGAATAAGAAAGTCTTGCAAGCCAGACGAGAAAAGAAGAAAATACACCAGCAAACAGATAGAGGTGGGGGGAGTTATAAGAGCAAGTGAAAAGATGAATAATCATCTCTACCTTGTTAAATATCTGAAGAAATTGCAGAACATGAAGGTGACAGTTATAATAGTCGTTATGGGAGCACTGAAGAAAAATGGCTAGGAGAACTGGAAATCAAGTGGGGAGCGTATCCCGATGTCAGCATGGTTGGAAAAAGCGGGAAATCTGAGAAAAGTGATGGAGCAGACTTGTTATCACCTAACATCCTGTGCAAGCCACCAGTTATTATCGACATAGAATAGAACTGGAATCAGTTTATTATAATATTAATGGCGAGGAATATGCGAATTAATGGTTACGTAAAAAAGAAAATGATAATTATAGTCAGGATTTGGCTAATAATAAGCAATAACTTTGCAATTTGTTGTTGAATGATAATATAGTTACTATTAATAAAATAATAACAATAAGAAAAATACCAACCAGACCAGGTTACGGAGATAGGACCTGTTACAATTCTATGGGACTACACAATACACACTGATAGAACAATCAAGGCCAACCGCCCAGATATTGTTATTAGAGACCACAAACAAAAAAGTGCCTCCTTATTGATATGGCAGTCCCTGCAGACTGCAATGTAGCTTTGACAGGGATTCGCATCTGAGTGGATTAGATTACACGACATGAAAGTAATTCTCCAATTGGACTCCACTTGCAAGGATATCAGGTATTTTATTAAAACCTGTCATTATATCACACACATTTGGCTGTGATTCATGTGCCTTTATTCTTTTAACAGACAGCGTGAGTATATATATATATGTATGTATCCAGATAAGATGATAACGAATAGAGTACAATCCGAACGTTCGTAGCATTTAATTTAAAAGGGGGCTCAATACAGAGTAGAGCAATATTATTTATTTTAAGATATTACATTGAAAACATGTGAAAATCGCTACACAATTGCAATCGTGTTTCGATGCGTATCAATGAACCTCATCAGGCGATTGTAAATTACTGGCGAGTGAGCGATTTATTTAGATTTAAAAGCAAAATATAATCTCTTTGTACGAAAAAAGAAACAAAAAGGAGAGAGATTGTTAGATTTGTGGGCGTTACCCTGATCAACCAATCAAATTTGACTTACGTTAAATTTAAACGAAGAAGCAAAAAATTATAAAAAAATATTATTTATATTTTGCTTTTAAATTTAAATAAATCGTTCACTCGCAAGTAATTTAATGGGAAGCATAGATGCACTTATGTAGCGATTTTGACATTTTCGGTGACACACACACACACACACACATATATATATATGCAAGTTTCATTAAATATCACAGACAAGGTGTTTTGATTAAGTTCTTTATATAATTTTTTCTGTGATCTTATATTTTTTTTTCTTTTTAGTAGATAAATTAAATAAAAACTGTCCAAATGTTGTTTTTTTTTTCCCGAGCGCTTTCGGCTATACATTTACGTGCGAGATGATAAATTCTCTTACGCTCTCTGAGGAAAATTTTAATAACACCTATTTTGTATCTAAGAGGGCATTCATTAGAGAAATTAAGATGATAAGAGTCTTTACTAGTTGTTTTTTTTTATAAACTGAAGTTGTAAATGTATTATTACTAAAATCAACGAGAACATCTAAGGAAGGGAGTTTATTTTTTTCATTAAGTACATATGTAAAATTTAGAACGGAATTTTGTTGAAATATAGTTTTCAGATTTTCAATTTTCTTTTTGTTTAAATGTCCATTAAAGAATTGTATTCCTGATCGATCAAAATTCTTAAATAATTTTATAGGCCACACTACAACATGTTTAACAAGAAGACTTGCAATACATCTTTCTGATCATAGCTCAATTAGGTCTCATTTAAATATTCATGGAGACCTACTGGACCCTATTCATAACATACTTGTTGATAACACAAATATAATAGTATCGTCTACATGTAAAAAAGGTTAAAAATAATGCAAGCCTTAGTAATAAAAACAAAAAAATAAGCAACACTCAATAATATCAACTATGAACATGGACACAATATCTTGACCGTGTTTTGAAAATGAAACATTATATAAATACATACATACAACAATCTATTTCTAGTTAACAGTTAATCTATTTCAACCTTGAAAATGGCTAAATGTATTGCCGAAAGCGCTCGAGGAAAACAAAATTTGGACAGTTTATTATATAATTTATCAACTGAAAAGAAAAAGTATAAGATTGTCTGTCATATTTAATGAAACTTGCATGAAAGAAAGATTGCTTTCTAAATACACAATACATTATATATATATATATATATATATATATATATATATATATATATATATATATATATATATATATATATAATGGCATGCTTCTGTCTAACTTGATAATAATAATCACCATAATAATAATAATAATGGAAATTAAACTATTGTAAGAAGATAACTTGTTTATTTCTGAATATTCTTCCTGGAGGTTAGGGAGAGTCATAATCACACCTAGTGAAGCTGCTTTGGTTTCAGTAGCAAGTGAGGGATTACGGAGCTGGGATGCAAGCTTGACGCCCAATCTGGGCTGCCCTACAGAACTAAATGCCTCCATGTGGATTCATGCTTTGAATTTGTCTTGCCAATTCTATTCTTCGAGTCGTTAACCGTTTCGCTACCCGCAACTTCGAAGAAGAGGAATAAAGATTTTTACGATTACTCATGCAATCCCGGTGTTTCATTTTCAAATAATTCTTTTGAAACAGCCAAATTATAACATGTACTTTATTATCGTCTTTTACATGGTTTTCTTTTTCAACCTGGGATGGTTTGCCTTTTACCGGGGATCGTTATCTATTCAAAAGAAATTCATAGAAAGTGTACCTTTCGCAGAATTATGTGCAGTGCCAAGCATTTGTAGACTTCGGAATGTTTTTTTTTTCTGATTTTATCGATATAGGACGAAGTTCACTGGTATAAATCCCCAACGACCCAATAATAATCGGGACAATTGCAGACTGAACATTCCACCATTCTCTGACAACTTTAATTTATCAATTCAACTTTAACATGTTAACAACTTAGCTTCATCCTTATAAAACCTTTCGTACGTGTTCCTCATTTAATCATTTTACTTGATTTAACCCATATTACTTACTACAATTAAGCTTTTTATTTAATTTTTCTTGTGTTCGAACAAGTGTTTTCTTTTTAGGACACAGAGTGTGTAGAAAGTGTCCAAATGTTCTAGAATTCTGAGCGCTTTCGGCTATACATTTAGCCATTATCAAGGATGATTTTACTTTTCCTTTTTAACTGGGTGTATGGATTGTGTGTATTTTTAATTGGGTGTAAGGGCTGTGTGTACGTATCTAGAGTTATAGGGATGTTTTATTTTTCGAACACAGCATATTATGGCCGTGTTCGTAGTTAATATTATTAAGTGTTGGCTTTTATTTTTATTATTAAGGCTTCCATTATTTTTAATCTTTTTTACATGTGGATGAGGTTATTATGTTTGTATTTTCTACTAGTATGTTTAGGATGGAGTCTGTTAAGTTTGTGTATGTGTTTAGATGGGTTATAAGTAAAATGGAGAAAAGTAAAATAATTGATTAAGACCTCCGTAAACTTATTGTTGACCATCATACAAATGAACATGGTTATAGAAAGATATCTAGTCAGTTTAATATACCATTGAGTTCAGTTCGTACGATAGTTCGTCACTGGAAGACGTGTCATTCCATTCGCCCCCCCCCCTCACCAAAGCTCTTATCGTTCTAGAAATGTAACGGAACGTACGGTAAGATTATTGTCGGGAAAAGTTGATAATGAGCCCCGAGTTACGCTTAAGAAACTCCAAGGATGCCTAGAAATAAGTGGAGTAAAAGTGGGTCCGGATACAATTAGTCATTCGCTTCGTCGATAGGATATCGTTTCGAGGACTCCAAGGAAAAAAAAAATCACTTCTTAAGCGAAAAAAAAATTTCTTGCTAGACTGGATTTTGCAAATGAGCATTGTATTAAACCTGCAGCATTTTGGGAAAATGTACTTTGGTCAAACGAAACGAAAATTGAACTTTTTGGCAGAAATTCTGTTGTAAA